AGCGAGAAGTCCATAGGTTTTTTGAGCAGCGAATGTGCCATCACCATTGCCCAATAAAACACCAACATCGTTTGTACCTTTATTTGAGACAATAGCATCGAGATCACCGTCGCCATCCACATCAGCTAGTGTTACAGACGTCGGTATTGAGCCAACGCCAGTCGGATAATTCGTCGGTCCGGTAAATGTTACAGTGCAGGGTACTAACAGGAAGAAAAAAAGATGATGAAGCATTCGCAGAGTTATGCCCAAGTGCTACTTCTTTGGTCCGATTTTCTTGGTGATGAAATTATATGGATAACGGCTGATTAGACCGAATAGATAGGAATGAAGAGAGACTACAGACCTAGTCTAGGAAAATCTTTCCTTTTCCAACAAGCTTATATATATTTTCCCCTAAAATTTGCAAATTTCTGTTTCATGGTCCCTTTCTCTCTACATAGAAATGAGTACCTCTATGCTGCATTTTAGGCTACTATGGATCATTCATGTCCTTAATTGGGGCACGCATATCATCATATATCTGGAGTATGGCTGTGATCTGGTGTGCAGAAAAGTTCTAAGAATAACTTCGTGCACATCGACACCTACACTCTATCACCGAAAACTTAGTTTAAAAGTTTGATAAAAGTATCTATATATTCCGACTGATGAACGACACTTACTCTTGATCAAGTGTTTTGGGAAAACGTTGCTATCTCACAATAGGTCTCTCTGGTAGATAGTGAGGTTCGAAACTTGTGAATTCGAAGATCGTTTAATGAATGCTTTGATTATCGATTCGAAAGTACGAGATCCTTTTCGCTATTATTTGTATTCACAACTGACACACTCTAGGCATTTTTCAGGCAATTTTTACAGTGGTCTCATATGCACTCTAACTTAAAATGTGTCGCATGTATGTGTCGTGAGTTATTGTGTCGTGCATCCCAGCATAAAAATGTGTCGCACTTAAAATGTATCGTATACAAAGGATGAGGGCGGGTAAGGCCATTTTCCGGCCCCCTTCAGAATTCATTTATATTTATCATGCTTTAATAAGCATTCGATCCTGATCATATTTTTCAACTTTATTCCCTAAAAAATGACATTCATGATTTTGGTCCCTGCAGTCCCCCCAGGTATCATGAAAAAAAAATTTCGTTTTTCTCGATTCAAAACTAAATGGAACTATAGATTCAAGGGTGCTGATTACGAAAATTAAAATAAAACGACTCGAAAATGTTTTCTTCCTTAAATGGTCTTGACCACTCGAGATACCCTATTTTTGCCTATTTGAAGCCCTACGGAACAGTAATTTTTTGAAATTTCACGGAAAATACTTTTTCTTACCTAAAATGTTGAGCTCTTTACGAATCTGAACTTTTTAGGACGCAAAAACGTGACCTTAGAAAAATAGATTGGGATTCTGGGGCCAAATACGGACCTTTTATCTATATACCGATTTTTGTCCTCCTGGTTTCCCATGAAGCGAACCTTGCCGCAACCTCAAATTTTGAGCTTAGGGGTAACTTTGCAAGCTCTATCTGCTGGTAACCTCAAAACAGAAGAAAAAGTTGTGCAACAGGGTCAAAAGTCCGAATTACGGCTAAAATAGGCCTATTTTTACTGTATTAGTCTCCATTCGACATCAAGTGAGTCTTGCCGCAACGTCAAATTTTGCTCATAAGTGCAACTTTTCAATCTCTATGGATTGAGAATCTCAAAAGTAGGAGAAAAGTTGTGCAACAGTGTCAAAAATTAAAAATACTAAAAAATTCAATAAAATGCCGTGGGGGACCACAGGTGCCGATATAGTTGGGATCTTCAAATCAGCTGAAACATACCACATCTTGTAGACTCTAATGAACTATGACTGTGAGAAAAATATCACTGATTTCCACGCTTTCTTTCGACGCGAAAAATTGGCTTCACCACCTTTCGGATAATACCACTGCAGTAAGATTTTTCAATAAATTTTCGAGACGAAAGAAAGCATGGTAATCGATGGGATTTTTCCAAGATTCATAGTTCATTAGGATCTACAAAATGTGTTATGTTTCAGCTGATTTGAAGATCCCAACTATATCGGCACCTGTGGTCCCCCACGGCATTTTATTGAATTTTTTAGTATTTTTAATTTTTGACACTGTTGCACAACTTTTCTCCTACTTTTGAGATTCTCAATCCATAGAGATTGAAAAGTTGCACTTATGAGCAAAATTTGACGTTGCGGCAAGACTCACTTGATGTCGAATGGAGACTAATACAGTAAAAATAGGCCTATTTTAGCCGTAATTCGGACTTTTGACCCTGTTGCACAACTTTTTCTTCTGTTTTGAGGTTACCAGCAGATAGAGCTTGCAAAGTTACCCCTAAGCTCAAAATTTGATGTTGCGGCAAGGTTCGTTTCATGGGAAACCAGGAGGACAAAAATCGGTATATAGATAAAAGGTCCGTATTTGGCCCCAGAATCCCAATCTATTTTTCTAAGGTCACGTTTTTGCGTCCTAAAAAGTTCAGATTCGTAAAGAGCTCAACATTTTAGGTAAGAAAAAGTATTTTCCGTGAAATTTCAAAAAATTACTGTTCCGTAGGGCTTCAAATAGGCAAAAATAGGGTATCTCGAGTGGTCAAGACCATTTAAGGAAGAAAACATTTTCGAGTCGTTTTATTTTAATTTTCGTAATCAGCACCCTTGAATCTATAGTTCCATTTAGTTTTGAATCGAGAAAAACGAAATTTTTTTTTCATGATACCTCGGGGGGACTGCAGGGACCAAAATCATGAATGTCATTTTTTAGGGAATAAAGTTGAAAAATATGATCAGGATCGAATGCTTATTAAAGCATGATAAATATAAATGAATTCTGAAGGGGGCCGGAAAATGGCCTTACCCGCCCTCATCCTTTGTCGTGTTCTGTTTGTTCACTATTCATTCACCGTTTTTGTTATGTACGCACAGCCATATATAAGCAACACGGTTGAACGTAAGGAAGATAAATATTTTCACAATAGTTTTTTTCTAGATTATTTCGGGACACTTTATTAGTCGGGAAAATGCCAATCTCGATCAATATTCGAGAGAGGACTACTCTGGACCGGTCTGACGGAGATCGAGCCAACTCAAGGATGGACAGATCTCG